GACCTTGAAAAGGATATTGGGGCCCCTCTGCCCTGCATGCTTCCCAACTACTGTGCACACAAGAAGGTGAAAAGGGCTACTCCATTACATGTTCCTGCTATGATGCGCTGTGTCACCACAAGGTCATCTAACCAAGGACTGAAACCACTGCTTTCCTCCTGCCAGTTACTACTCTCGGGTGTTTGTCCCACAGTGACGGAAAGCTGACACATCTCAGAGCAGTGGGAACTGACCAGCCACAGTCTGAATACTGCCCAAATCCCACCTGCTTTTTTATTTTTCCTTTGGATTTCAGGGAGCCATGGGGTAGGGATTTTTGTTTATTGGTGTATGCTGAGGGTTAACAATTTTGGCTCACAGAAGAATATGCCCAAAATACTTATTCAAAGAATGACTTATGGGTGAATGTAAAGACTATGAAAGCATACAATTGAACCTGTGGCATGCATACCTGGATGAAGGAATGAGGGTGCACAGGAAACACGGGAGGACAGTGCCTGTCAAACACCCAAGTGGACATGGTACACATAGTGGGCAGCAAACACTATTGGCCTAGTACTTAATACATGAGAGACTGGTCTTGATACTTAATGTGTCAATGAGAAGAAAAGCAAAGAGCCTTACAAACGAGCTTGCTTTCCAGAGAGTAAAGCAGTGATAATAAATGACTTATCTAAAACTATGAGGAAAAATAAACAATGGGAATAGTAAGGAAACTGGGTGGGGTGGTGCATGCTTACTCTCAGCACCCGGGAGGAGCCCAGCCGGAGCCCTGATGATGTGACCGAGACCCCGTCTGTAACACACACACACACACACATACAGGAATGTGAGTTGTAACTCAAAGAGTTTGACTCACTGAGCAGTTGACCCAGATTTGATGTTCAGAGGAGGTTCATTTGTTTAAATGGTAATATCTGCCTGAAAGTTTTTAAGATTGAGTCAGATTATGTACAGTCTGGCAAGTAATTGCCAAACGCTTTTTTAAATTTTTTGAGAGTCTCATCACTAAGTCACATTATTTCGTATGTCTTTTTGAGGCAGGGTTTTGCTATATAATTCAGCCCAGGCTGGCCTCAAATCGTATTGACCTTCCTGCCTCAGCCTTCCAAGTGCTGGGATTATGGATGTGCACCACCATGCCCAGCTCAATTCTTCCCATTTATCTCCAGTGGTTACAATTACAGTGCGTATCTTTAACCTTCACAATCTGCATGTTATTTTTGATTGAGACAGGGTCTGACTAGTTCAGGCTTGTCTGGAACTCTTGGCTGTCCTGCCTTGGCCTCCTGAGTGCTGTCACTTGAAGTTAACATGGTACCAGGTAAACAAAGGCCAAGAAGGGAGCCTTTCTTCTCAGGGTCTTCTATGAAGGTGCACCCCTCCTCACACACACCCTGTTCTGCTTATCTGTAAACTGTACAGACTAAGGTCTCCCAGCAGTTCAGGGTGTGGCATGGCAGTGCACCTCTACAATCCCAGCAATCGAGAGGCTGGGCAGGACTGGGAGCTCACGGCCAGCCTGGGCTCCACTGTGAGTTTGAGACCAGCCTAAGCTACATGGTGAGTCCAAGGCCAACTGCACTCCATAGATCTTCTTTCAGAAAACCAAGACTGAAGATAGTGATAGGGTTTTTGGCACGATAAAGGGAGAATATAAAAAATAGCCTTTATTCTAAGAATGTGGAGAGAACTCCATGACTGCCAGGGCCTGGCTTTCTCTGCTGGAAATGTGGGGTATGGGACATAAAGTTTCTGGCTGGGGTGGTGCTTAGGATGGCATTGCTGATGCTCGAGCAGCTGATGGGGACTTTTTTTTTTTGTACCAGTGGTAAGTTGTCACAGAGAAAGGGGAAGTGACCTCAAGGTAAACATCCCTTGGTCCCGCCTCCCACTGCCATAATATTGTATCTAGGGCAAAATCCTTTCATATAGAACAGTTCTGAAAAAACAAAACTCCAGCAATTTAGTTGAGCCAAGTAGAGGGGTCAGGCAGTAAGTTTTGGGGCAGAGGTGGTGGTCAGAGTGTGGGGAGAAAACTCCCAACCTGCTAAATATCTGAAATGCCAAGTACATCTTCTCTAAACAGGAATAATCTTCTCTAAACAGGAGCACCAAAGATTAAGAGTAGAAAGAATGCAGTGAGACAAAAACCACTAAGAGGAAGAGAAGGGAGCCAGAGTGGGCTGTCCACTGACTTTGCTTCTCAAGGGTGTTTTACTGAGTAAAGCCACTGGGTGAAGAGGTTTCAAAGTGGGACAGAACTGGAGTTAGCTAATAGGATTATAAGTATAACTGTTAGGTAGTATTGATCCAATGGGAAGCCATAAAATGGATGAGGGGTGGGACAAAACTATGGTTAACCAGTAAGATTACAACAGTATAGTCAGGGAATACTGATTAAACAGGGGACAGACAAGGACTTTGGTCCTCCACCTCAAGGTGATGGATGCCTATTTGGAGTGTCACTCACTGCTGTTAATCCCTCAGGGAAGTACCTCCGGTGAAGCCTGGCCTTCGGGGACCGTGTCTCCAGCCACAGTTGTCCTCGGCACTGATCCCTCCAGGGCATAGCCCTGTCCAATTGCCTACAATATTTCTAAATAACTTAAGCTATCTATAATAAAACCTAGAAGTCCTTAAATAAGACTCTTCCAAAACCTTAAACTTTAAAACAAAGACCAATGTTTTAAACCACTTCTAAGTTCAGAATTTGTTCAACAGACACCATAAAGAGTAAAAAGCCGATTAGTGCTCCAGAAATGGTTTAGAAATACGTAAAAATGTCTCCAAAACTCATGGAGATGCACATTATATTGTGTTTAAGGTACATTATAAATATACCCAGTTTATTTAAGCCGATTAGAGCTCAGTAAAGCTGTTTTTTAAAGAAAATCTGCAAAACTAAAACATCATTTAGAAAAAATATATATATGGAAGTTATAAGAGCAAGTAAAGCATCAATAGCTGGAAAAATGACTGCAGTGAAGGGCAGGGCAGGCAGTTCTAATGTGGAAGAGCCAGGATTCAGCCGTGCTGCGGTCTGGTGCCAGGAACACTTCAAGTCTGAAAGTGGGTGTCATTGTTGTCCTACTGTCATTCAACTACATGCACGCAGTACACAGACTTTTACACATAGTACATCTCGCAACTGAGGAAAAAAAGAGGGTCTGTGATTTGGAGCATACACAATGAACCATTACCTAACTGATGGAATTGTTTGGGGGGCAGGGCTCCCTTAAAACCTTTCAAACAAAACATCTGACAAACCAGGTGAAACTCGTTCATCTCTCATGCCAGTTTGGAAATCGCAAACCCTTTATCTGTTTAAGATATAGATTACCAGTATCCAACAGGCGACTAGAGACCAAATATAAAAATTACTTGACCATGCTTGAAGATGCATGTCAGTAATCCAGCACTCTGGTGTAGGGGGCCAACCTACAAACTTATACCTGACCAAGGGGCGACCAAGACCAAACAGACACAGAATTAGGTGAAAACGTGTCGGGGGGGGGGGACCGGTTCTCATCTCCCCTCAACAAAGAGCTCCAAGACTGGCTCATCTTGGCTTTATTCACTCAGACATAGACACAAGCAGAGTAAGACAGGATTCACTGTCTCCCACCATCTATGTACATATCCACAGCACATCAGCACCCACTCAGTGCTCACAGAAAAGGCCAGTTAGGCCTTAAGTTTCCTATCTGGTCTCCCACTCTGGGAAGCTGAGGCAGAAGGATCCCCAGTTCAAGCTCAACCTGGGCAACTTAGTGAGACCCTGCCTACAAAGTATACAAAATTCAATTTTAAAAAATATAGCATAGTATGAAGGCCCCAGTACTGAAACGGGATAAAAGAAGGAATGAAAAACCGGAAAGGAGGGATGCTGGGACACAGAGAAAAGGAACACTATTGTTTGTTAACTAATCCCAAAGCCAGGCGTAGTGGCTCACACCTGTAATACCAGCACTCAGGAGGCTGAGGCAGGAGGATTGCTGTGAGTCTGAGGTCTGGGCTACAGAGTCAGCTCAAGGCCAGCCTGAACTGCATAGTGAGACCCTGTCTCAACACACACAACTGCCTTGAGGTGGAGGTGAAGGAGTAATGAAGGTTTAGGCAGCTCAACCGTACTTATCAGTTAGAATATAACTAGCTTTCTTACACTTTTTTCTCTCCCAGATTATAAACTTCGACAGCTTTATTTTCTTCATTCCACATTTACTTGGTAACCGTCTTTACCAAAATAGTAAAATATAAGCTAAGGCGAGTTCCCTGCTGTTCCTGTCATCCTTCTCCGTTCTCCGACAGCACTAATCTTACTGCCCAGAGGCTGTGCATCTCAGCATGCATCCTGCAGGCTTCCCATACTATATAAGGGTTTCAGTTGAGTTTTCAGTTGGAAAAGCAAGCTATACTCCGGTCCCTCACACGGCTGTATTGGATAAGCTGCCCACCCTGTCTGCAACTTCAAGTTAATTTTTTTTTTCAACTTCGAAGTTTTAATCACGAAGTTCCAGGAATGTGGAACTTTGCAGATTCTACAGATTACGCCAGACTTAAATTTTTGTTCCTTTGCCTGTTAACTTTTGCTATTTCCATCGACACTGACGACCTTTCAGCAGTTTTGAATAACGTGACATAAATCGCTTAGCTCCGCGCACGGAAAACCTGTCTCCTCTGTCCCCGCAGTCACGGCCACGCGAAAGGGAACGGCACCACACGCCGCGAAAGGGTTACATTTCCCATAGGAGGTCGGCGACGACGGCCCCCCTCCACGGCCGGGCCGAGCACTGCCGCCGCCGCCGCCGCACGTCCACCCCGCCGGCTCTTTCACCCGCCCGCAACCGCCACCTTCCCGCCTTCCCCCGCGACGCTCACTTCCGGCCGCGAGGGAGCTCGGGAGCGCGCCCGGCGGGCCCACCAACCAGCGACGGCGCCAGGCCGGCGCGAGCGCGCGAGCGCAGCCTTGTGCGCAGGTTCGAATCTCCGCCGCTTCCCTAACGCCCGGCCGCGCCTCCTGAGGCAGCGCACGCGGGTCCCGTCAGGCAGGGAGGCCGCGCGCTTCTACGCGGCCCGCCCGCCAGCCGCCGCCAGCTTCAGCCAGGCCTGTCTCACCCTCCCGCGCGCTTTGCGCCCCGCCCCGCCCCGCCCCGGGCCATGGCCAAGCGGCGAGCGGCCGAGCCGCTGACATTCCACGTGCCTTGGAAGCGGCTCCCGGCCCGCGGCTTCGCGGAGGCGCCGCCGCTCTGGACCCCGCCGTCGGGCGCCCCGCAGCCGCCGCCGTCCCGGAAGCGCAGACTGGACGCGGGGGCCATGGCGGAGCCGGCGGCCTCGCCGAGCAAGCGCCGCGGCAGCGGGGACAGCGGCGTCCCGGAGGAGCCGGAGGGCCGCGGCGGGAACACCAGCGAGCCGCCGGGCCGACCCCGAGGGCCGGGGGAGGAGTCGCGGGACGACCGGCCCCCGGGGGGCGGTGGCGACGTCGGGGCGGGGCGCGCCGGGCCCCGTAGGGAAGAGTGGGGGGCTGCGCCGCGCCAGGTAGGGCCCGGCGGGGAGCGGCCCTTCCGAGAGCCTGGGGTCACCTCGGTGTAGTTCGGAACCTCGGGTGGACGGGGCGGGGGAGCCACGTCTGGGGGAAGCGGTGTGGAGCCGGGGTCTAAGGTTTTAACCCGGGGGCGGGAGGGAGGCGTGCGGCCCGGGCAGAGAGGACCAAGGCGTCTTCGGAAAGCGCCTCTTGAGCCAAGGATGTTAAGCGCCATCCTGTGATAGACGTCAGTTGATGAAAATATGGGGCTGGGGATTTAGCTCAGCGGCATGAGTACCTGCCTTGCAAGCAGGCAGCCGTGAGTTCGATCCCTGGTACCGATAAAAAGGAAAAAGACCAAAAAAAAAAAAATAGGCCCAGAGGTAAAGAGCTGTACGGGTCCCTGGGGAGCTCCAGCTCTGCACCCTTGCGTCCCACAATCCTGAGAACGTGAGTTCTGCCGGGCCCCATGGAGCTCACGAGAAGCCAGACCTGGCGTGGGCTGTGATGTTAGCACTGGAGAGAGGCTGAGGCCAACCTGGGCCACACTGCGAGATTCCGGCTGTAAAGAATGATTTGAGAATCAGAGTAAAATACATTAACTTTATGTGTTGCTTTTACTTTTTTGGAATGACTACAGGAAAAATTTAAATTAGTGTTTGTCTCATTAGGTGATGACAGCTTTGAACTAGATTTAGGAATTCAAGTCTTTTTTTTTTCTTCCAGTTTGGTAGTGACTTCCCACACGGGCTGAAAGAACCAAGTGCAGGGTCCTGCTTCCACCCAACATTTTCTGTTGTCTTTAAGTCACCTCTGACAGTTTACCAACTATAGTACCTTGAAAAAAGTCCTTCAGCCGTACTTGCTAATGCCAAGCATCTAATAATGAGAATTTTAGAGTTGGGAAAGTTTTTTTCACTTTGATTTTAAGAAATTATCTTAATCACAGTGATGACCATTTCTGGATGAAAATGTGATATTTCTACTCTCAATTTCTCTTGATATTTGGGAAACAGCCTCATTTCTTTGAGTTGTTCTGAAGTATTCAAAATCTGATAATCATCTAGACCTACTGGCTACAGACACTGGTGCTGTGGTATGAAATCTCCCTCAATGAGATTTCTTGGCATTCCGTCCCTATGTAGGCTTGTTTTTCCTCCCAGAATATGCTGTGTACCCCATGTGACAGAACTGGTAAGAAGGAAATATAAAGTAACAGGCCAAGAAGTTAGTTTTCAAATTAACTGACAGAAGCTGTTGACTTAGAATGTACTAGAAACAGCTTCCTTGCATCAGACTGGATGCCATCAGTGTACTCAAGCACGCATCAGGGAAAAGCAGTTGCTTCGTTCTAGGTGTGCCTTTTCCACACTGTTCTCTTGACACCCATATTCCTCCTTTTTGTGAGGTCTGCTCCTGCAGTCCCTTTCGTTAAAAGGGAAGAACATTCTCTCGCCAGCCGCCTTTCCTTCCTGCTTCCAAAGAGGATTTTGTTTTAAGGGTTTTATAGTTAATTAGCAGGGGAAAACAATGTAACAAAAATAAGATAAAAGCCTTTTCTGCTCGCTATAGAGAATGCTGATTGCTGCCGAACCCGCGCTCCTTTCCAAACCGCTTAAGAAGTAACTACCACAAACGCTTCTGTTCTGCCTTGAGTGTGCAGCCTCAGATGAGTGGTGATGGGTGCGGTCCATTCCTCTGCCCGTGTTAACTCTTGCTGTTTGTTAGGTGTTTTAACAGAAAGCAAACCAATGTTTTACTAAGGAAAGAGCAGTAGTACATTTTCAATCTGGAGATGCACTGTTAGCAACAGTGCTCAGTTACTGTGCTAACCCTTAATTCTCCTAGAGATTCTGCTCCACTCAGAGCGAGGTCACAAGGGGAGTTGGTGAGTGGTGACATTATCACCCAAACCTGGACTGTCTGGAACAGAGATGATGATGTGCCACTCTTATGTAACAGCATGCAAAAACTTTCTTTTGGGCTGTGTGTGTGAGATAATTTTAATAGGTTTTCCAGAGGACAAAGAACTAGAACATTGTTTTAACTGTTTTTGTGTCAAAGTGAAATTTTATCTTTATCCAGTTGTAAGAAATTCCCTGAAGACTGGATTCATTTTTACCGAGTTAGTAAGACACGGAATGGCTTCCTAACAGATGTTTGCAGCCCTGTGCTTTCCAGTACAGTAACCAGTAGAGGTGGGGTAGAGTACTGAGATGTCACCAGTGGGAAAGTATTAACCACATGTTGAAAAAATGTTTTGTATCTGATAGGTCAAATCAGATATTTTGGTTAATTTTGCCTGTTTTTACAATTTTTACTGTGGTTACCAAGAAAAAATTTTAAATTATATATCTGGTTCCTATTTCTGTCAGAGCCTCTTTAGCAAGTATTTAAAGAACAGAGCCACTAAAGTTGGTATACCGCCCCCCCCCCCACTGCTAAATTTGACTGGCTTTTAAAAAAAAAAAAAAAAAAGAACAGACTATAGGGGCTGGGGATTTAGCTCAGCGGCATAAGTGCCTGCCTTGCAAGCAGGCAGTTGTGAATTCGATCCCCGGTACCGGTGAAAACGAAAAAGACAAAAAAGAACAGAGTGTAGTGGGATACACATGGATATGCTCTGGGAAGGACATTAATGTTCGTAATTATCTTGTAGGCCTGAGTGTAACTTCAGTGCTGTGTATTTTGCAGAAGTAGATGCTTGGAATTCTGTGCCAGTATTTTTCTTTTCAGTTTTTATGTACTTATAACATGTTTGTGATACACAATGATTACAATCCTTGTGGAGAGTTGGTTCATGTACATAGTGCAACTTAATTCTTTTTCACCCCTTCTCTCCTCTTCCGCCCCTTTCAGCTCAGTCCTCTTCCCTTTTGCAAAAGATCTATCTCCCTAAGTGGGCCAGTTTTTTCCCCTGTGATCTGTCTTGTTTTGCACTTCATTTACATGTAGTAAGTTTCTCACATAAGAGAAACCATGCAATAGTCAGCTTTGTATATCTGATTAACTGTGGTCTCAAGGTGCCTCCATTTCCCTACAGATGGCTCAAGTTTGTCCTCCTCTGTGGCAGGGTAGTGTGTAAATTTTTATCATCATTACTTGACATAATTTAGTGGTCATTTACAGTAAGCTGCTGACTTTTTAAGGCACCAGCATTTAGACTGAGAAACTTTGATGCATTTATTTAAGTTAGTATGGAGGTCTGTCATTAGTATTTTCCTGCTCTTCATTGTATTTGTATCTTAATATTTTAGAGTAAAGTTGGTTGAAATATTCTGACTTGTGTAAAGTCAACCTCTTAAAATATCAAGGCCAAAAAAATTTATAAATGGAGGTATGTGTGTGTGTATGCATGTAAGTTTTTTGATTTTTGGTGGGGTTTTTTTGGTGTTAAGGATCGAACTCATGGCCTTGCACTTGCAAGGCAGGTGCTTGTGCTGCTGAGCTAAAAACCCGGCCCTTGTATGCATGTATTTTAAAAGTAGGTTTTTACTTTTCTTTATTAAAAGATAAAAACTTTTATGGTTGTTTTTATGTATTTTGTTTGGGTGAAAAATGATTGCAAACTGCACAGATACTAAAATGCACCTATTTAGTTGATGAAGTATTTTGATTTGGCAAAATAAATATGTCTGTTGAGAATACAGAAATGAAAGACTGCAAAGTCTACCTAAGTTCGCTTTTGAAGCAAGGAAATTTGTTTCCTAAAGGGAGAAAAACCTTTTTATGTCCCACTGACCTGTGGTTTTCCCTCTCTCTGCCTAAAGCACGATGAGGAATTCTGGCAATATAATACCTTCCAGTACTGGAGGAACCCTCTGCCCCCCATTGATCTGGCTGACATCGAAGACATCAGTGAGGACGGCCTGCTGGAGCCAACCCTGGAGGACAGGAGTGAAGGTGCAGAGATGGACATGGAGTCCTGAGGGCACCGCAGCAGGGGACACGCTGGGCTCCAGGAGACGGCGCTAAGTGGATTTGCATCTTCTGAAGGAAAGAGCTGTTTTCCAGACTTGGCCTGGTGTCCTTCCAAACTGAAAATTCAGGAAAGATCACCTTGAAGAGAAACCTGTGTACTGCTGAACTTTCCTGTAGGGATTTGCCCGTGATACAGTACAGTTGTAAGCAAAGTATTTTATGTGTGCATTTTTAAAGAAAAGAGTTCTGTATAGGTTCTAACTTTGAAGAAACTGGTGTTACAAAAGAACTCTAGCAGTTTTAGAAATAGATGAAAAATGCTCAAATCTTCCTCCTTTCTATACCAAAAAGTTTATTTGTGTTACATTAAATGAATATCATTTTATAATTGTTAAAAGAATACTTTGTAATACATCTTACTGACTTTTTAGTTGAACAAAAAGCAGACTTGAACATCTATGCAAACCTAAAATGTGGAGGGTTTTCTCTGAAAGCTAGTATTGTTTCAGAAGAGCTTTGTAAATGAAAAGTAGAATGTCCATTTGAGTGGCATGTTTTAACTAATGTACAGTGTTTGATGTTTGGTGAGCTTTACTGTGGGCAGTCTACAGTAGACAAAGCAGATTTTGGTTAGTGTGTATCCCTCCCCCTTTCCAAGACAAGAGGAAAGAAATTTATTGTATGACCAGTTTTTTTGGTTTTAAATTACTTTGAGGGCATGGATTTGATGGCTTATTACTTTAGACCTGTAGTTCTCCACACTGACTGCACTTTAGGGTCCCCGCTGGGCCCAGTTCTAGAGAGAGGCTTGATTATTCTGAGCGGGGCCCTTGATATGTCTCGTGTTTCCTCTGTGTCTTTACCGAGCAGACAGGTTGAGAATCGTAGACTAATGGTAGTTTTTCCTGTTTAAAGGAGATAACTAATATGAGTGGAAATAATGCCTGTTAATTAGCTTTGTTTTTATTTTGCTCCTTTGATAGCTTTGTTACAACTAAGTTATTTTGTTGCCATTACTATCTCATTGTTAAAAATAAAGTAGGCAGTTTGTGTTTGAGTGATATCCAGTATTATGACTATATTAACTTTTGTACTCTATCAAGAATGTTGGTTTTCTGTTTCAGTAACTTCTCCCTACTTATGTATTTGTTGTTGATGACATTACATCCAAAATTCAGAAAAGAGGATAACTGCCAATGAGAAAACTATATTGTGTATACCACAAGATTTAAGTGAGTTAAGATTAATAAGAGAACTGAAGGCAAATATTGTGGTACACATGGTTCAGAATCATATACTGCCACTTCTTAGCTATGTCACATTGAGCAAGTTATTTTCCTCTCGAGGCCTCAGATTTCTTACCTGTAAAATGAGAAATAATAAATAGTATCTACCTCAGAGACTATGTTTCATGTCAAGCAGTGTTCTAAGTACACACATTATCTTACTTAGGTTACAAGTAACCTTATCCTTTTTTTGACACGATTACTTTATTGATTCCTTACAATCAAATTCTGCCAGCTTGTGAGGTGGCTGCTTCCTGCTGTTGGCTTCTCGTACACCTTCCAGCCCAAGTCTTCCTTACAACCCACGCTGCTGAGCTCAGTCTCCCATCTTTATCCACGGACTGTAAGCTGGATACAGCTGCTGACAAAAGCAGCTCCTGCCATCAGGAGCCCGGTGTCAGGAAAGAAAGAAAGCTGAGTTGAAACAGAAATTGGTTTATCTCCAGCCTTGGAATCAGGCAGTCGTGAGTTCGATCCCTGGTACCGATAAAAACGAAAAAGACCAAAAAAAAAAAAAAAAAAAAAAAAAAGAAATTGGTTTATCTCAAGGCAGACAAAGGGAAGGGGAGCCGATAGATAGCTCCAGTAGATAGCTCCGCAACAGGGAAGAAACATTCAGAACCAAGCTACTCATAGTAACCTTATCTTAGGGAGTTCCCAAAGCAGCCAGTGCTTGCTCATGATGGGTGGGCAGCATGGCACGTGTTAGTCAGCAGGCAGTCCTATCAGTTGCTGGGAGGGCAATGCCAGTAATCTTTTACGAACATAGCAATGCATGACTATCGTCCTTTGCCCAAAGATGTGTATTCAAAAGGTTTGCTGTCATTGCATCACATAGGGAAGTGGTGGAGACTGTCTGGCTACTGGATGAAGGCAGAGTGCAGCCCTACGGGGGATTTCTGTGATCTGAGGTAGAAGTCTGTATGCACTGACTGGTGAGAGCTTAGGAAATAGATGGCAGAGGTGAGAGAAGTTTCAGAGCAATACATAGCATGAGCTCTGTCACAGTTTATGTCTGGTCCCAGGCCTCACGAGTTTGAATTGTGCATTTGTTATTCACTGTCTATTGCTTGGACTGATGGTGTCAGTGCTCCACCCACAAAGGGGTGGAGCCAGAATGCGATGTAATGGCAGGAAGAAGGTATGTCTTGCTCTTTGCTGGTTCCTGCTTGCTGTTTGCACCCACCGTGAACTGCGACCCAGCCATGCCCACCTGCCTTAGAGCCAACTGAGTGTGGACTGAAACCTCCAAAAACTGTAAGAAATAAACCTTTCCTTTACAACTTAGGCTTCAAGTATTTTGTCTCAGCAACGAGTAAAAAGTAACTAACACAAGCTCATTAAAACCATACACAAACTATATCCAAACAAAGTTAATTTGAAGAACAAACCAGCCTCCATACTGATTTTCTGTCAGTAGAAATGCTAATTAAAAAAAGGAAGAGGACTGAGTTTTGGATAGCAGTTAACTGACCCATAGAAACAGGAGCTGAGATTTCTGAGGATGTGAGGGGAGGCAGGTGCTCTTGCATCAGTCCTTGTGTGCTGGTTTAACTGTTTAATGTCAGTCTGGCTGTCACATCCGTGTACAGTGGTCACCCCAGTGGTGCTTACAGTGTTTGCAAAGCTGTGCAGACATCACAGTCACGAGCATTTTCAACACACAGAAGACAATAACCTTTAGCCATGTCCCTCAGCCCTGCTCCCAGGCCTCAGACAGACAGCTGCCTTTGGTCTTTATTTTTGATATTTTAAAAAATCATATATCCTTTGACCAACATTGTTCCATCCTTTTCTCCTCACCGTTCTCCTACGAGATTAGCGTTTTTCAATTCCACAGCCAAGGTCGTGTGATATTTGCCTTTCTGTGCCTGACTGACTTCCCTAATGTGATGTTTTTCAGGTCCACCTGTGTCACAAATAGGTGAACTAGGATTTTTGTCTTCATTCTCTTTTGATAAATTGCAATGCATATATATGTCATGTTTTCTTCTCCATTGCTGGATACATGGGTTGATTCTATATCCTGGCTGTTATAAAGAAATATATGGTTTCTTAACTTTTTTTTTTTTTAGGTTTTTGAGACAGGGTCTTGCATTGTAGTTCAAGATGGTCTTGGAACTCACTATGTAGTCCCAGCTGCCCTTGAAGTCAGGGCAATCCTCCTGCCTCATCCTCTGAGAGCTGAGATAACAGATGTGAACCACTGCCCTGCTAAACATTTTTTCATGTATTTGCTATTTGTAGTTCTTTTTTGTTTGCTTGCAAGGCTTTCCAGAAAGGCTGGCTGTTGGCGTCTTGGTGGCTCCTCCCAGCCCTAGCATGGCTGATTCTTAGGAGGCACTGACTTCTGCCTTCGTAGCTCTTCATCTGAGAAGTGCTTGATCATCTCAGACGCATACTTCCATGTTTTGAAGATTAGTCCTACACTTTTCTGCAGTGGCTGCTCTTTTGATCTCCACCAGCAGTGTATAAGGTACTTGCTGTTCACATTTTAAACAGGGTTTTTTGTTTGTTTGTTTGTTTGTTTTACTTTTTTGCTCTGGAATTATTTCAGTTCCTTATAAATTTTGGGTATTTCCTATCAGATATATAGTTTACAAATATTTTCTCTCCTGTAAGTTGTCATTTAGTTTTTTAGTATTTTAAAACAGCGATTTAAAGTTTATCCCCACTACCCTGCGGGTTATTCTGATTTTAAGGCAGCACTACATGGCACCCTTCTGAGTCCACTGATATTCTGTGGTGCTTGTCTCTGTCCATGTTTTAGATCCACACAGTCTCTGGTGCCAGGGGCTCATCTGGTTTGGGTCACATGAGCAGTGAACAGATGGATAAAAGAGCTTTAGAAACAGTGGAAACAGGAGACGACTGTGATCTTAGAATATGGACACAGGTGCTGAGGTTACTGTGGCCATTTGCATGCCAAATCCTTGCTGCAGTACAACCTTAGGTGTTCGGAAGGGGTCACCTGCAGGAAGTGAATTGTCAGAATATGCCTCATGATGTGGACTGTGCTTGGTCCTGCACCTGTGGCCAGTGAGACTCCAGCTGGACCTGCAGAACCCCATGTTGGGGCATTGTGGGCCAGATCCCTGAGCTCCTTATTAATCTGCTTCAGTGCTTGGGTCCTGCGCGTCCGGCCCACTGCGTCTGTATGTCCTTGGCTCTGGGGCTCAGGCTGCACGGCTCAGATCTCTGGGTAAACACCTTGTGAGCTGGCAAGCTGGACAGCCCAGCTGTGGGCCGGCTTGTCCCCTGCACCACCTCAATTTTTTTTTGCTGTTGCATTTCCTTTTGAGGATATATCCAAAACATCGTTGCTCACAACAATGTCATGAAGCATTTTCCCTGGATGATTCTACTAACTATAGCTTTAAGCCTTGCATTTAAGTCTTGTTTGTTGTTTTCTGAGACAGAGTCTTGCTATGTAGCCCATGCTGGCCTTGAACTCAGAGCAATTGTCCTGCCTCGGCCTCTGGTGTGCTGGGCTGACAGTCATGTGCCACTGTTACAGACAGCTGAGTTAGAAATATTATAGGCAGGCAGACAGGGCTGGGCCCTCGTAGGAGCCAGTGTAGAAGACCAGATACCTTGAACATTAGAGGAGACAGATATCTCTGCTGCAGCCAGATCTCTAGACAAAAGGCTAAAACAAATGCAACCACACCCTCAGTATAAACATCAGGGATTGATATTCTAAATAGTTATGGATCACCCTGAGGAAACCAGGAGTCACCATCCCAACCCTCTACAAGAGGAGTTACTGTTCTTTAAGCATGCCAGCTTGCTATGTGACTGGGTTCCCTGTTTGTCCCGGATTTAATCAACTTTACCTGATAGTTAATCTTACTGGTTGACCCTAGTTCTGTCTCACCTCACGCCCACCTGCCTTGAGAGGGTCCCATGCTTTCCCCACCTTGGACCCCTCTTGGTTTTGCTTTATAAAAGTCCTTGGAAAAGACAGAGTCCCTGGCAACCTGCTCAGGACCCCTTCTGTCTCTGTCAGACAGAAGCTTTCTTTCTCTCAATAAACATATGCAGCTCTTAACCTCTGTTGTTCCTAAAATTCATTCTTTGATTTTAGAGCATACGGATTCACACTGGACACCTACTAGGTTGGGAGTTTCTTCTATATCATCACCACCCTCACATTTAACCTTTAATCCATTTTTGAGTTGATTTTTTTAATATGGCAAAAAATAAGATCTATGTTTACTCTTCATGTAGACAACTCAGTTTCCCCAGAACCATTTATTGAAAAGCCTGGCCTTGGGGCTGGGGATTTAGCTCAATGGCATAAGCGCCTGCCTTGCAAGCAGGCAGTTGTGAGTTCGATCCCCGGTACCGATAAAAAGGAAAAAGACAATAAATAAGAAAAGCCTGACTGGGTTGGGGTACAGCTGAGCATTAAAGGACCTGCAGAACACGTGCAAAGCCCTGGGTTCAGTCCCCAGCAGCACATGGCGTGCAGGCATGTACACACACACACACAGACATGGTGTTTCCTCAATACCTGTTCTTGGCACCTTTTTCAAAAATTTGGCTGAAAAAGAATTACTTGGCTGTGAAAGTGTGGATTGTTTCTGCACTACTTTGTGCCATTGTTTGTGGTGCCATGTTAGTTGCTGTATCTCTGTAGTACATTTTGAAGTCATGCAATAAAACTCCGGCTGTGTTCTTTTTGTTCAAAATTGCTTTGGCTATTGCAGGTCTTTTATGATTCCATCTATGTTGGGAGCCTTGAAGCTGGAAATTGATCACATGGGTAAGGCAGGAGCATGGCCATTCCAAGAACAAAAGGTGCCCAAGGCAGCCAGGAGAAGAAGCTGCTTCAGCCCAGAGAACACCCAGCACCGAGACAGTCTGCACAGTGGGCTGCTAGGACAGGGTGTCATATGCCAAAAGGTGTAAATAAAGGCTTCCACGGTGAGAAAGCCACACACACAGATTTTAGTGTTTGTGCTGCTGAGGCAAGCACAGTTCCGCAGGGACTTTATGAAGGATTTGGTTTTCTTTTGTTGAAGAATGTCATTGGTGTAATCCCAGCACTGAGGAGGCTAAGGCAACCTGGGCTACAAAGCCAGCCCGAATTGCTTAGGGAAATCTTGTTT